AGTTCAATGGGACACAAAGGAGCAAAGTGAGAGTTCAGTAGGACCACCATGGTTTAAGCTGACATTTTAAAAAATGCACGAGTCTGAGGTTACAATATTGAAATCATAAAATAGCAGTCAGAGACTATAAATATGAATATGAGCTTATGAGTTAGACACCAATGGGCAAAGCACCAGACCGGTACAACAACAGTTGGCAAAATGGCATTTCAGTAGGACACCAATGGGCAGAGCAACAGGCCGGTACAACAACAGTTGGCAAAATGGCATTTCAGTAGGACACCAATGGGCAGAGCAACAGGCAGGTACAACAATAGTTGGCAAAATGACATTTCAGTAGGACACCATTGGGCAGAGCAACAGGGCGGTAGAACACCAGTTGGCAAAATGGTAGTTCAGTAGGACACTAACGGGCAAAGTGTGGCTCAAAGACTATAAAAATTGATATGAGCCATCTATTGAACTTATGCCTAGTACCAGCAAACAAACATTACTTTCATTCAAAGTTTGCAATTAAAAAAAAAAAAAGATAACACAAATTACATCAGCGTTTATAATGATAATACATTCAGATGATAAATAAATGACTTTATAGATCACATGACGATTAAAAAATATAAAAACTATTGAGAACAAACAGTAACATGTCATTCAAATGTTCCTCATGGCTGGTTGATAATTTAACACAGGCACTAAATATTTTCCCTTATGGTTGTACATTTAAATTGAATAATTCTAAAAGCATGCCAACTTGCTGAGGAGAGTGATTACAAAAAACAAGCATGTATTCATCAAATTATAAGATATACCACCAATAAATAAGGAGCAAAAATTTACAAAGAAGAAAGCACAATTCTTTTGCTGCCCTCTTGGATACTACTATTTTTTAAGTGCTATTTTTTAAATTGATTCTGTTTTTCCTGATGTTTGTTCACTGACGAAGGCTTCCTGCCGACAAGTTCATTGTTTTGTTGCGTTCCTTTTTTCAGGTTTTCCTTACTTTCCCCTCTATTATTCTTTTCTTTTCTTCATTTTCTATGAAGTGCAAGAGTTTTATATCACAACAAAACTGATATTAATGTATCTTGTTGAGCCTAATGATAAGCCCCTTAATAATTAATTAGATAATAAAAGACTAGGATAATTGTCACTGGGTGATATTTTCTGCTTAGGGATGGGATATAAATCTTGGCTCTCACCCTCCCTATGCCACTGATTGCTGATTTGTTGAAAGTGTTATAATTTAGTAGATTTTCATTCTTTATAAACTTGATAAAAACATGGAGAAAGGAGGGTAAGCCTTAGTAAAGGGTGTAACATGAAAGTAGAGTTGCAAATGTCATCATCAGTAATAGTAATTGTAATGAGTATTAAAATCATAGATAGGGCCATAGGTTTTAGGCTTACTCTACTAGGAGCCATTCTTAAAGGTTATAACTGTCAAAGAATTGGAAAAAGGAGGGGGGTCACAAAGTTGTGACAATGTATGAAAAGTCTCTAATTTGTATTAACAATTGCTGATGATTTATATATATATATATATATTATAATAAATATATATATATTGTTCTAAATAGATTGAAATCATTGGATATTTGCTTATTTATTACTTATTAGTATTGGTACTGAAGAAACTAATGTAATAAAGAGTCACTTATTTGACTAATATATATGACTTATACTTAGGGTAAAAGGGGATAATAGGCTCCATGGGGTATTAAACCTCAATTTCTCAGTTCATACAAGCATTGGCACCATATAAGAGGGATTCTACAGTGGGTTTCCACAACACAACTACTTTGCGAAGCAGCTGGGACGAAACGGTTGCCTTGGAGCAGCTTCTCAGGGCTGCATAGTTAGAATCATCGGCCAGAGGTTACCACCTTCACCTCTCATCCATAAAAGGCAACTTGTAATCATGATCCCTACCCTGTCTCTGCCTTTTCTTCCACTTGTGAAGCGTCACAACTGGCAGCCCTATAGGTGCTGTTTTATTTACGGCAGGTACCGAGCACGTCCCTTATCTGCCCACGCAGGACGCGCCCAGTAGTTGCTTGATATTATTGTAAGAAGAGAGAAGAGCATTAAGGTCTACTTGATAGAAACTTACTAACCAATCAGAGAACTTTTCACGACCATTTTTGAGTTTCTAATCTATGGGATTGATTTTTAATTTGACTTTTTAGATGAGTGCTTTTCCCCTCCAGTTTTCAGCTTCCTTCAAACCTTTTGTAAAACTTCATCTAAGCCAGTGCTTGTTTTGTATTTACTAGAAATGGTATTTCTACACTGAGAGTTTTTAATTTCCATACAAATACAAGTACAGCTAAACTAAGTAAGTACTTTTTTTTAGTTTTTAACTATTTGTATGTAATGAATGAGTTAAAATATTGATATTTTTTATTAGTAGAGCAAATGAATCTTGCCATTTTTGCATAGTAAAATGACTGTTGGATGAATAATTTAGAGATTGTTTATAAAAAGCTCTAAAATTCACTTTAATACTTAAGTTCCTTTCAATATTTTGAATAGAAAGCATTTGTAATATGGTTCCGTAGACTTATTGCCCCCTTTATTTTGCAGAATGGTTCGAACCTACAAAGAGAAAGAGGAAGGAGGCAGGAAGACCTATGCAACTAGCCAGACAATTGCAGATGCCTACAATTCTGTCATGGGTAAGCAGATGTTTGCCAACAAAGCATTGAAACATTTTGGAGTTGATAAAAAGGCACTTTTGAGGAGTATGAGGTGAAATACCAGTAAATTCTCATCAAGGCAAACTGCTTTGAAGCCTGATTAAGAAGAAAAAATAACAGACTGCCTTATTGTGTTGGGTGAGTGAGGCTGGGGTTTCAGTACAGTGGAGGTGAAAGACATCATTCAAGAATTTGTGAAGGAAAATGATCTTGAAATGCCTTTTGTGGATGGTCGACCTAGTAGGGACTGGTTGAGTGGCTTCATGTGACACCATCAGAAAGTGGTCCCAAGAAAAACTGAACACCCCTTAAACAAGGATGCTATTGATGCATGTTTGAAGTGACTGAGAGAAGAAGCAGCAAAAAAAGATAAAGCTCCATGAGAAAAAGCAGAAATCTTCCAGATGGAGCTGATAGTGACAGTGATGAGGACGATGACAACACTGTGTGCCTTAAGGACCAGGAGAAGAATGGGTGTGTTGTGACATCTGGTACCATGATAAATGCACAGAAATCCCAGAAGAAGCTGATATTGAAGCCATGGAGTGGTTCTGTATGATTTGTCTACAACCTATGTGAAAATATTTCCATTGAACAGACAGGGGCTTATTGCCCTCATTTTGTTAAATTTTTAAGTCATTAATTAGTTTTAACTTTTTAACCTTTTTACACTGTCATTATATTTATAAATTATTATAATTATATTATATGGCTATAAATTTTGCTCATTAGAGAAAGATGTGTGGCCTGTAACTTAAAAACATTTACTTTTACAGTTTGAATTTAATAATATTTATTTATTTCAAAGGGAAACCAAATAGTTTTTTGAAAACATGAAGCTTAATGAGCAGCTTCTCCCCCAGGTTACCCTATAGTTTTATATAGTAGTTAATCAATGAAACTCAATGCTCAACCAACTCAATTTCAAATTCAATGCTAATTAATAGAATTCAATAAAATAATATCTAATATAAAATTACTCAATAATACTAATACAATACTAGCCTAGCCTACGGCTACTGCTACGGGCTACTACTAGTACTAGCAGTGTAAGTGAAGTGTAAGAGTTGAGTAATGAGTAAGTGTCAGTGTCTAGTCTAGAAATTAAATTAGGTTATATATTCTTTATCAACAACACACTCAAGATAAATTTTACTTACAAGTTAATTCAATCTTTAAAATCCAATCTTGATGGTGTTGTGAATTAGTTATTTCAATGCTTGGTGTATTTTACTAGAAATAGAAATTCATCAAATCGTTATGTTTTGAAGATTCTTTCAAAATTTCCAAAAATCAACGCCCGGAAGTTTTGTGATAAACCGGATGTTGTTAGCAAACCGAAATCGAAATTGCTCACAACATTAAATAGACTAATGAGATTATAATTTTTTTTTTTTTTTTTTTTTTTTTTTTTTAAAACTTTTTATTTTTTTTTTTTTTTTTTTTTTTTTTGCTTACAAACTTTTATTCTTTTCAAAGTCGATAACTAAATAAAAATATATCAGTAATAAGATTTTCTTAATTGATCAGAATATACATTTCCCAAGCATTGATGTTACCTGATATACGAAACTAAATATTAATGAGATTAATAATAAAAGAGAGGCTACAGCTGTTTTGAAAGTCGGAAAGATACATACATCGATTATCCCCCCTATCCAGCTGAACACGACCTGAAAGCAAGTCAAATTTATGTACATACATGTTTCATAAAGAAAGTGCAAACAAACTTTGTAGACTTCAAAAATGCTTCTGACAGTGATAGTAAATAATACCTGTATTTTAAATTGTACGGCATTACTTCGCTATGTAAACTACTAGGGAAGTAACTTCGGATGTTGGGGTAGGAATGGGCGAGACAGCAGTTTTTATTTAATCAGCCTTAGGCGTGTGTCTGTGTGTGTTTCTGTTTGTCGGTCTCCATGTCAGTGACTTTGTCTGTCTGTGTACGAGCATGTCCCTCTGTTTCCAGATTTGTATTTTAAAATCTCAATGTGGATTTCATTATGTTCTTTTGCCATTTAGCACAGTGAACAATTTGCATGTCGAGCACTCAACTTGCCACAGCAGCAATTTTATAACTGCTATCCCTGGAAGCCATCCAAGAGAAAGATAAAGAAAAAGTGCTGAAAGGCGAGCAGTATTACACGAAAGAGCCCCCAAAAGATGTGAACTTGTCGTCAAATTGTTGTGAAAGAGGCTGAAGACAGGTACACTTTTTAAAAAAGTGAAATTAGTTCCTCTTCATGCGCACTGACTTCCTAAGTTGAAAGTAAAATTTTTTAAAAAATCGTTTAGAGGATACATGTGTTAGTGTGAATTCGTTTCCGTCTCTGGAAAAATGGCGTCCTTTGTCCTCTTCAGATAAACATGTAATTAGGTATGAATAAATGCAATGACCCATCGGTATGCAATGTTTTAGAGGATGATTGTCTATGCCCACGATTTTGTATAAAATCGTGTAGTAATTTTCACATATGGAAAAAAAAGAAAGATTATATAGAAAGCTAGTATTTAGTAATGAATTTCAATATCATTTATAATAGTTATATCAGATATTATGAATTTCAATTACATTTTAAAAAAAAACAAAAAAAACAAAAAAACTTCTCAAACTCTAAGCATCAAGTTAGGGACCGTGCTACAATTCATCAGTGTCAAGGTCAGAATATATATATTATCCAAGTAGGCTCCTTACTTCGGTATGCATTGTGGATAATCTATAAGCTACCCATAACATACAAAATATATATTTTTGTATGCTATTTATCATTCATTACTGTTACGATTCATTCCACTGAAAAAAGAACTCAGAAAAATTCAACAGAGATAAATATTCGCTACTTTTCCCCCAACCCTCTTTCATTGGCTATTGGGACCAAGGCTGTTGAAAATTTCTTTCCTTCTTCATAATTATGTCCTGAGCCACGTTTTAGCTCATGACTCCATTACTAACCGCCAGTCCATGACATATGCCATCGGATGTCTTTACTGACCGCCAGTCCATGACATATGCCGTCGGATATCTTTACGTACCGCCAGTCCATGACATATGCCGTCGGATGTCTTTACGGACCGCCAGTCCATGACCTATGCCGCCGGATGTCTTTGGGGACCGCCAGTCCATGACATATGCCGTCGGATGTCTTTACGGATCGCCAGTCCATGACATATGCCGTCGCATGTCTTTAGGGACCACCAGTCCATGACATATTCTGTTGGATGTCCTTACTGACCGCTGGATTACTTATTCTTCCTATATAATTGAAAATATTTATAAAAAACAAAGATTTAAAAAAAAAAACCTAATTAGTCATTCGGTACTTAGGACACCCGCAACTCACCAATTACTTTCCCTCTCGGTTCTGCATCAGCTGTCATCAGAGATGGAGGGGCGTCGGAGGAGCGGCAAGAAACGTGACGTCATCTAACAAAGTATGAGTACCCGTGATGGAGAGAAGAATATAAAATCTGCTATCAAAACAGAAGGTATATAAGCGTGCATGTGTGTGTGATGGATAGACCAATAGAGGTTTCGGGTGGAAAGATGGCATTGAAGAGCATCAAACAGCCCTCCTAAACAGTGACTAGCTAATTGACAATAAATTTAACAGAAAAGCCCTAATGAAACACATGAAAATAAATTTTCCTAATGAAACTAACGAAAATAAATGTTCCTAATGAAACACATGAAAATAAATTAATGTTCCAAAAGAAACTCATGAAAATAAATTTTAGTAATGGAAAGAAATGTTGACTTCATTATGATTTATTTTCTTTACCTTGAGATCCAATGAACCCACCCTTCTCCCCTCTTCATAAATTCTCCCCATTCATGTAAACTGTTTATTTCTGGCAGGACCAGGTCCTGTGTTTCAAAACAGAGGGGACAAGAGGCTTCGATTTCACAGCAAAGTTGATTATATCTTTGGGAACCAGAGAACGACTGGACCGACCAGCAGCACACCCACTACTTCTACTACGAGTTTGAATCGTAGAGCCAGTGGTTACCCGAAGGACATCGCTGGAGAACTCGAAGCTGGACATGACGTACAGTCCTGCGGACTGTGTCGATGTAAAGGACAAAGCCGATGCTGCCAGTGTGCCTGTTGTGTAAGTCTTCCAAAATTTCCTTAGGGAAATAGAGGGCAAGGTGATTCCAAAGACAGGTGAACTAATGAGAACGAGTGGGATTTCGGTAGTAACGTGTGGCTCATTTATAGTTATACATGATTCATAAGAGGGAAACTAAAAAAAAAAAATGAGATCTGTTGGTACCATATTTTAAAAACATCACACTTGATTTCAATTTGCTAATTTTAATTCAAATGTTTATGACATGCAGGCACCTAGCAGGAAAACTGTCACTTATAAACATAAGGCTTATGAGACGACCCCCGGCGTATAAGACGACCCCAGACTTTTGAAAATATTTTCGTCTTATGCGCTGGAAAATACTGTAATTTATTATTCAAGTCCTGTAGAGCAAAAAAGTATGTAATTTTTTTATTTAATTAATTTGAATAGGTCACGTGAGCAAATCGATATGGCAAAGTGCATTAAAATAGGTCACGATTTTGTCACGAGTCACGTGCTATTAAAAAAAAAAAAAAAAATGAATTAGTAAGTAACCAAAATTACGGTAAGGCACGCGACCAGATCCATGACTTTAAAAAGAAGTGACCTTTTCAATAAGGGGACAAATTTTTTTAATTAATTAAATTGAATAGGTCACGTGAGCAAATCGATATGGCAAAGTACATTAAAATAGGTCACGATTTTGTCACGAGTCACGTGCTATTAAAAAAAAAAAAATGAATTAGTAAGTAACCAAAATTACGGTAAGGCACGCGACCAGATCCATGACTTTAAAAAGAAGTGACCTTTTCAATAAGGGGACATTTCAGTACTTGTCTGTACGTTACTTTTCATTGTTCAGAAATAAAAAGAAGTACTTGTGTCTTCAAACGACACCAGTGGCAAGGGGAGGGAATGCGGAGGGGACAGGCCGCTCCGGACGAAATTCTCTTTCTTTATATGGAGGGGTGGCTTTTTTTGGCGCAATGGAGAGGGTTTTTTTTTTTCGTTGAAGGGGTCGGCACTAACCTGAGGTGTAGCGTGGTGGGGGCAGGGGGGAACAGATGTCCCCGGGCGCCAGCTAGTTAGGTGCCCCAAAATGTGCTTTGATATTATTTTATTGATGAAAATAATCGGTTTGAGAGTTGAAAAAAATGAAAAAGGGGCGCTTTAAAATGGATCTTGTCCCCGGGCGCGAATCTTGTCCCCGGGCGCGAAACGCCCTCGCTACGCCACTGGCACTAACCTAGCTACGTCATTGAAAGCCACGTCATTGAAAGTCACATCACTGAATGCCACGTCATTGAAAGGCACAATTATGCCGTCTGCCGAGGTTAATGCCAACGTTAATTAAGCGAGATGCAAACTCTTTTCTTATTGCTTACTGACAGTGATGTAGCTGCTGGGGTTAGTGCCACCCGGGGCGGGCAAAGATTACTCATCATGACTCTGCAACCTCTACCTTACGCCTCTGCTCACTGGTTAACAAAAAATAACAAAACAAAAAAATCCAAAGCATTTCATTTACCGGGTATCAAAATTATGTATAAAAAATTGCTACATATATATGTATATATTGATTTCGCCTCTCTACAGAGCTTTAAGTTTTTTCTTTTTAAAGTTATAACTAAAATGTATGTTGCTTATTTCGACACTCTTTGTACGAACATGGATGAATTACTACTTTAACCGATAATTTCGTTATTTTTGGGTTCTTTTTTAAGCGGCACATATTATACTGTACTTATTTTGTAATTATTTTAAAACTTCATTGTAGCCCGTAGCCAACCTCAATCAAAATGTAAAAAAAAAAAAAAAAAGTGAATGCTTACTAATTTTAAATAATTTAAAAAATAGCCATGTAATCTTAGCTGCATACTTGAAAGCATACACTGGGCGCAATTACGTCATGGATTAATCTGCATAAATAAGTCATGGATTAATTTGGTAACATAAAACGATAAGTTGTCGAGTTTGTAGGGTTGTTTTCTTCCTTCATAGAGGCACTCACATGTGTAAACACCCAGTCATGGAGGCAGTAGTTGTACTGAACTCTCATGTGTAAACAACCAGTCATGGAGGCAGTAGTTGTACTGAACTCTCATGTGTAAACACCCAGTCATGGAGGCAGTAGTTGTACTGCACTCTCATGTGTAAACACCCAGTCATGGAGGCAGTAGTTGTACTGCACTCTCATGTGTAAACACCCAGTCATGGAGGCAGTAGTTGTACTGCACTCTCATGTGTAAACACCCAGTCATGGAGGCAGTAGTTGTACTGCACTCTCATGTGTAAACACCCAGTCATGGAGGCAGTAGTTGTACTGCACTCTCATGTGTAAACACCCAGTCATGGAGGCAGTAGTTGTACTGCACTCTCATGTGTAAACACCCAGTCATGGAGGCAGTAGTTGTACTGCACTCTCATGTGTAAACACCCAGTCATGGAGGCAGTAGTTGTACTGCACTCTCATGTGTAAACACCCAGTCATGGAGGCAGTAGTTGTACTGCACTCTCATGTGTAAACACCCAGTCATGGAGGCAGTAGTTGTACTGCACTCTCATGTGTAAACACCCAGTCATGGAGGCAGTAGTTGTACTGCACTCTCATGTGTAAACACCCAGTCATGGAGGCAGTAGTTGTACTGCACTCTCATGTGTAAACACCCAGTCATGGAGGCAGTAGTTGTACTGCACTCTCATGTGTAAACACCCAGTCATGGAGGCAGTAGTTGTACTGCACTCTCATGTGTAAACACCCAGTCATGGAGGCAGTAGTTGTACTGCACTCTCATGTGTAAACACCCAGTCATGGAGGCAGTAGTTGTACTGCACTCTCATGTGTAAACACCCAGTCATGGAGGCAGTAGTTGTACTGCACTCTCATGTGTAAACACCCAGTCATGGAGGCAGTAGTTGTACTGCACTCTCATGTGTAAACACCCAGTCATGGAGGCAGTAGTTGTACTGCACTCTCATGTGTAAACACCCAGTCATGGAGGCAGTAGTTATACTGAACTCTCATGTGTAAACACCCAGTCATGGAGGCAGTAGTTGTACTGAACTCTCATGTGTAAACAACCAGTCATGGAGGCACTAGTTGTACTGAACTCTCACGTGTAAACACCCAGTCATGGAGGCAGTAGTTGTACTACACTCTCATGTGTAAACACCCAGTCATGGATGCAGTAGTTGTACTGAACTCTCATGTGTAAACACCCAGTCATGTAGGCAGTAGTTGTACTGAACTCTCATGTGTAAACACCCAGTCATGGAGGCAGTAGTTGTACTGAACTCTCATGTGTAAACACCCAGTCATGGAGGCAGTAGTTGTACTGCACTCTCGTGTGTAAACACCCAGTCATGGAGGCAGTAGTTGTACTGCACTCTCATGTGTAAACACCCAGTCATGGAGGCAGTAGTTCTACTGAACTCTCACGTGTAAACACCCAGTCATGGAGGCAGTAGTTGCACTGCACTCTCATGTGTAAACACCCAGTCATGGAGGCAGTAGTTCTACTGCACTCACAGTAACAGGTTTTAACACAAAACTCTTAAATCGGACTGCAGTAGAGATCCATTTATTTCGTCATCCAAATTTTCAACACCATGAACGTGCAATTTGAACAGTTTTACCGCGATTCCTTGATTACTTTTGTTCTTTTCTTCCAGTCACTCCAGTAGTCAGCATCCAACGACACGACGTCCACGATCGGAAACATTGTTGTTGTCAGCGGAGGAGATTTCAGTACCCATAAATTAGAAAACGTAATAAATTTCACCCAAATCATTTCAGAGTTATGTCAATGAATTTTTTCTGTTTTTTCCCGTAGCCTAGGATTCATGTTTGAATGAAATAAATTTGTTCTGTTTTTTTTCCCGTAGCCTAGGATTCATGTTTGGCTGAATTAAATTTGTTCTGTTTTTTTTCCCCGTAGCCTAGGATTCATGTTTGGCTGAAATAAATTTGTTCTGTTTTTTTTCCCGTAGCCTGGGATTCATGTTTGGCTGAAATAAATTTGTTCTGTTTTTTTTCCCCGTAGCCTGGGATTCATGTTTGGCTGAAATAAATTTGTTCTGTTTTTTTTTCCCCGTAGCCTAGGATTCATGTTTGGCTGAAAAAAATTTGTTCTGTTTTTTTTTCTCGTTGCCTGGGATTCATGTTTGGCTGAAATAAATTTGTTCTGTTTTTGTCCCCGTAGCCTGGGATTCATGTTTGGCTGAAATAAATTTGTTCTGTTCTTTTCCCCGTAGCCTGGGATTCATGTTTGGCTGATCTTGCAGTTGAGTTTGACTTTTGTTTAACACCGCAACACAGTTGTATTTTCCTTGGTCATAAAAATTGGGCACTGAATGTATTGAAAACAACTTAAAATTAAAACAACAAGAAACAACAGTCATTGCTGACAGGATACAAAAATTATTAAGATTTAATGTTAAGGTTCTTTGATGATGAATTATAGCTTAAAATTCTGGGACTGTTTTTGTCATTGATTAAAACTGTACTGTTTGCGGTATATGGCATCTACAATATGACAGCTAGAATCTATACTCCATTAAGACGTTTAAGCAACCGAAAAAGGAAAAAAAAACAACTCACCGACACGTTATTAATGCAACTTTCATTATATTATATATCGTACATGAATTAAATAAATCTCTCACACAATAGTTTTTGTCAACATAAGCGCATGTCTACGTTTGTAAGCAAGTAAATTGATCATCAGTGATTGGCCATTTTGACACGAGCAGCTAAAAAAGAAAATTTCGTTTAAAGACTACCGGTAGCTACAACTTCCACGCTAGAGAATTTCTTTAGATGTCTTGTGTTTAAGTTGTTCTAATCATACAATTTGTTCTTGGTTAACATATGTATTTATTGACGTGCTCAAAATGAATATGTAGCCTACATTATAACAAAAAAAAACATACCAAAAAAAAACAAAAAAACAAAAAAAACAAACACATTTCATTTGTATCAATAAAAGATTTATATCTTAAAATATATATTGTTCTTTTTTTTTTTAATAGTAAAATCTTCATCCCTGTGTGATCAACTTTTTAATCCCCATGATAACACGCCACGATACAGGCGCGGAGTCATAGAAGATACAACTTCAGCATAACATAGCACGGGTCATTCAATTGGTTGGGGGTAAATTAATTCTTTTGTTACAGTGCGTCTTTCAATAATACATTAAAGAAATAATAAATTATAAAAATGAATCTTGTTTGGAAATGTGTGGGTTGGGTGGGGGGTAAGGATAAAACATAAAGTATAAAGCATGACCTCCGTGAATGACTAATTCACCTGATGGAAAAAAAGTTAAATTCCTTTAAAAAAAAATTTTTTTTTTTTTTACATAAACTTTATTCTAAATTCATTGTCGTAATCATATTTAATTTTTTTTAAAAAGTTGTTACAATTTTTAGATTTTAGTCGCACCCTTCTTCCTCCACTAAATTGTAATATTTTCCTATTAGGTGAAAGAAAATTATTAAAGTACTATGCATAACTAATGATAATTAGTTTAATCTTCAACAAAAAAAAAAAAAAAAAAAAAAAAAAAAAAAAAAAAAAAAAAAAAAAAAAAAAAAAAAAAAAAAAAAAAAAAAAAAAAAAAAAAAAAAAAAAAAAAAAAAAANGAGTGGAGTCTTTGTATAATACAAATATTTTTTTTTTTTTTTTTTAAATGGCGGATAACTTAATGTTTAGTTCCTTAACCTCTCTTGAATTCATTTTCGGGTTTATCCATTCACCTGAAACGCACGCACCGTAACAAACTAACACCATGCACTAACACGGGACGCCAATTCCATTGTTGCTGTTCCAAAGCACATTCTATCTCAAAATTATTTATAGAACACTTTAGCCAACTTACCATCTACCGCCTATCCCATTATGGCCAATCTACATTTGAGCTAAAGAAGTTTGATTCTATTGCTGCCGACTTCGAAACTGCTGAGCGACATGACCTCATCAAGTACAAATCCAACAGGAGTTGGAGACAGCGCTGAAATCGAAACCTTAGACAGTTGTTTACCCAAACCGGATGTTCCGGGAGATGATGAACCACAGAAAATTCCACAGGTCAATCAGACTGAAGCAATCCAGGCCTGGTCTGAGCAGACGAGCAGTCCCAGTCCAGAATTCAAAGGTAAAAGAATGACATAGATTATTTTCACATTTAAACCAATAATCAAACTCAAATGAACATTTGAGTTTGAGTTGATTTGAAATCAGGAGAATTTGAAGCATTCCTTTCTGTTTTTGTGGTAATCCATGTTGGACCACCATCCTGGGTCACTTGGCGAGATTATTATTCGTCATTCGCTTGCGAAGATGACCAAGGCTATATTACACGGTGAGCAAGCGAGTGGCCCGCCAGTCTTATTTGTGCCTGGAAAGCGCTCCCGCTTGTGGGACACACGTTCTTTGGGGGTCCTAGTAGGAGTTGAGGCAATTTTACTATTTCTTGCCGTAGGTTTTCCTTGGATGTACACTCATTCTCTGAGGATTTTTCTCCGACTGTGAGTCTGCCACGCCAGCTCGTACTGTCATTGACAAGTGTCTCCCACCAATCAAGGTCAATGTCGGTGGATTTAAAAGAAGATTTTAGACAGTCCTTAAAAAGCGTTGCTTTTTTCTGCCCCCACCCACATTTTTCAACTGAGTGTTTCCCCACTGAAGTGTGCCGATGAGCTCGACCATCCCCAAATTGGATCAAAATGTCCACTTGCACAACTCCAAAATTTGGGATTTGATCCAACTATTTTTAATGGTTTGATTTTTGAATGAAAGCAGTACAAATAGTGTCGCAACTAACAGTTAAACTTAAACAACTTGAGATAATGGCGTCGTCAGACGTCTAGAGCTTTACATTGCGGATGACGTGTTTGTCACCTGTGTCTCCAGCTGAGACATTGTAGAGCGTTAATTAAATGTCAGCAAAGATTAGCATGAGATCTGAATTGGGGGGGGGGAGTCTCTATCAAAAAACAAAAGCCCCCAATTATTTGGAGATACCGGTAAACGGACACTCTTTTAAAACATTCGAACAGACATTTTACATATAGCAAGGGTTCTCGGTAAATGGACACAATTTTAAAACACTCGGAAAGCTATTTCAAATAGGCCTATAGCAGGGGTTCTTATACTTTTTTCAGCGCCGAACCCCATCTCGATTTGAAAACATATTTCCTGCACTTTCCCTATACAAAATGATTGAAAACGCTAACAAAAAAAAAAAAAAAAAAAACAAAATGATCATCACGCCCCCCCCCCCTTTCCCCCCATCCTGCCATGGCTAAGAATCCCTGACATAAAGGGAGCTGGATTAAGAGTAAAATAGTTCATCAAATCTTCTCAAAGCTAATCAGACTTGTTTAACGACTACTGCTTAGCCCGTGAGACTGGGACAATTGCGATGAAAGTTGACCTAACCATAGATGAGGATACACTGAGGGTAAAGCTCAGCACAAATTATCACATCTTTCAACACTGTCATAGGAAATGGTACAATTTATCCTACTTTTTTGGTAGCAAATTAATTTTGGTGAAAAAAAAAACCCAAAACAACTCAAGTCAATAAAACAGATAGCCATATGGTCCTCGTATTGTTAATGGTAACAATAGTGACTAACTCCAATGCTATTTTCCTCTTACCGTGACTAAATCCAATGCTATTTCCCTCTCACTGTGACTAACTCCAATGCTATTTTCCTCTCACTGAGACTAACTACAATGCTATTTTCCTCTTACCGTGACTAACTCCAATGCTATTTCCCTCTCACTGTGACTAACTCCAATGCTATTTTCCTCTCACTGAGACTAACTACAATGCTATTTGCCTCTTACCGTGACTAACTTCATTTCTATTTCCCTCTTACTGTGACTAACTCCAATGCTATTTTCCTCTCACTGTGACTAACTCCAATGCTATTTCCATCTCACTGTGACTAACTCCAATGCTATTTCCCTCTTACTGTGACTAACTTCAATGCTATTTTCCTCTCACTGTGACTAACTCCAATGCTATTTCCCTCTTACTGTGACTAACTTCAATGCTATTTTCCTCTCACTGTGACTAACTCCAATGTTATTATCCTCTCACTGTGACTAACTTCAATGCTATTTTCCTCTCACTGTGACTAACTCCAATGCTATTTCCATCTCACTGTGACTAACTCTGATGCTATTTCCCTCTCACTGTGACTAACTCCAATGTTATTATCCTCTCACTGTGACTAACTACAATGCTATTTCCCTCTCAGATTCTCCGAAGGAAGAGTCCAGAAAACTCGACTTTCTCTATGCGTCAGGTGAGTTTGAGGACACGGACGATGAAAGCGCGAGTGTCTCTGACTCGGATGTCAGTCTACCAGAGAGCGTCTTGAGCGTCGGCTTCCTCCAGCCTCGGTTATCGTTCACGCGACTCTCCTCCTTCTTCAACAACTACTGGCTAAGAGACTGGCTGTCCTACATAGCTTCCCATGGACTCTACATGGTCGTACTCTCCAGTATTTACTTAGCTATAGTGTACATCAGCCTTGAAATACTCTTCTTGTTTGCAAGCAAGGAGAAGTCCCATCCACCAAAAGTGTGATGAATCATTGAAGCGACGCCAGTCTTTTACAAATACCTCCACTGTAATAACCTCAACTTGGAAAGATCAAAACAAAATAATTTATCAATAAATTAGACCAGACAGTTATTAAGGCTCAAGTTGTACACAACCTAAGGAGTATTGATTCACATACCTGTATCCAAACAAATAAAATAAGAATTTCATCAAAACATTAAGGCAATCAAAATTTGTAAATGCATTTGACAGAGGTCGGATGTTTCAGGTAGGGTTCTTACATTCTAGTGCCACTCAGCTGATTCTTATACTCTAAAATATCTTGTCATTGATGTCCACATCAGCTGATTCTTACTCTTAAGCCTCATGTCATTGATGGCAGTAATGAGTAAGAGACATAAACAGAGCAAAAGCCTGTAGAATCATGTGGGAGTTAGATTTACAGAGATTAAACCAGTGGAACAATTCAACAAAGAGTTGCTTCTTGTGTCATTTTAGACATATCTATTTTGATTTTAAAATGTCGGGAGTGGGGACAAAAGTAAACAACCAATTGACCAACGGGAGAGGGGACAAAAGTAAACAACCAATCGACCAACGGGAGAGGGGACAAAAGTAAACAACCAATTGACCAACGGGAGTGGGGACAAAAGTAAACAACCAATTGACCAACGGGAGAGGGGACAAAAGTAAACAACCAATTGACCAACGGGAGAGGGGACAAAAGTAAACAACCAATCGACCAACGGGAGAGGGGACAAAAGTAAACAACCAATTGACCAACGGGAGAGGGGACAAAAGTAAACAACCAATTGACCAACGGGAGAGGGGACAAAAGTAAACAACCAATTGGCCAACAATAAAACTGAACAATGACAGAAATGAACAAATTGAAAGCATTGCTGTTACTTGAAAGACAAAATATTTGCATTTATTGTGATCAATGAATATGTACACACTATACAAATGACTGCACAAGTACAAATAAATGACCAGTTACATTAAGCAGTTTGTACCATGTGAAAATGACATCAATTACTTTGTACAAAAATGACAACATTTTAAACTGGCTTGTTGAGCTACACATAGTGCAGGATGTAGCAACATTCAACTAACTACTATGACAATGTTAAAGCTGCTAATTTTTTTAAAGAAGTAATTTATAAAAAAAAACAGTATAAATAATAATGTAACATATGTTACATTAAACAGGGTTTCCCAATATTTTCTATATTTCCCACCTCCTATGAATTGTTTGACTAAGTCTCACACATATATTGTAAGAACATTGACATGATAATACTAAGCTAGGTTAAAGGTTAACCATTTGCAGAATACCTGACCAAAGAAATTGATAAAATTACCTTTTTTTTTTTTACTATGGACCACGTAAGTGTTCTATAATCATGGAATTTTTTTTTAAAAAAACAAGGAACACTACAGGAAGAGAGTTAGATTTAAGTTTCACTAACACAACCCTCCTTTGTAGAAACCTAAGACAGAAGACTAGATCAAATCTCAGGACCAATGCCTTTTCTTTAATTCTGTGTATTTACTTTTGAGGTCCAGAAATCTTACCATATTCACTGCCTTTCTACTTCAACAACACATCCAAACCTAAAACTGGGTTGGTTATCAACTTTAAAAACACGTCTAATCTGACCCAGAATATTAATAAAATTAAGTTTAAGATTCATTTTTAGTGATATTGAATTATATCATTTAATCAAGGACATAAATTTCCATAAGATGTTAATTCTCTATGATGGTTGACCGATAGTATATCTAATAATTTTATAATTTATAACTCATGTTTTCAATAAATGAAAACTAAAATGCAAGATTTTTTAAATGCTAATTACTTCTACTATAATTTATAATTATAAAAAACAAAAATGTAATGTAAGCCTTATAGGAGAAGGAATTTAATTTCCTTTCAAGTCCTAACATACATTGTGTTATTGATGAGAAAATCAATAGTGAAAATTCAAAAAGTAAGGGAAAAACACAAGAAGTGTTAGCAGCAACAACACCCCCCACCCAAAAAAAAAACCAACAAAACAACAACAAACAAAAAACAACAATTAAATATACTGGTTAATTAAAGTGTAATAATTATATAGATATGGTTAATTCGTGTTAGCTTTTGTATTTGAAAAGCTGAAATTCAGTCAAAGATGTTAAAAATTATGATAGAATACTAAGGCAATATTTAGGAATTCGTTTAAAAAATCATACTAACAATACTCAAACACATGTACCCTCAACAAGTCCCATATAAGTTTATTTTTAAAAACAATTCTACAAGGAAGTTAGGTCAACACTAGCACATATTCCATCAAGCTGTGGATTAGGTAGAAAACAGTTGCAGCCTCCATGGTCAGGCACAATACGGTCATAATGATTGCCATTGGTGTTACACAATGTGACGTAACAACAAGGATGAGTTGATAACTCACTCTCAGCCAATGTCCGCTTGAAGACAGGTTGAAAGAGGAGCCATGAGTACTTATCATTTAAATGGTTTGGAGTGAACATATAAATGTCTCTCTGTAACAAGGTTGCAGCTGCGTAGATCTCACAGGTAGTTGCCCAGCAGTGGTCTTCAGACATTCTCTCAACATGCACCTGTACGAAAAATGAAGAATTAATTACCCTCACATGTAATAAAAACAGCTTTTAATTAATAATAATATCTACAAGTACAAGTCTTTTAGAATGAACCTCTCATACATTAAGAAAGGGGTGTAGAATATTCAAGTTAGGTTGAAGGAGACAGTAAAAAGTAATATCTCTAGTTCATTATCATATCAGTAAGTTAATTAGATTTACTAAAGAATAAGGGCTTTATCTTGATTCCAGTATATCATTGGCAAATGACTTTTGAAATTAAGCATGGTTCATGTTAAGAATAAATCAACTGACTCATCTAGATGGTCTTATGAGTGGCTCACATAAAACTAAAAAGACAGACACAAAATAGTAATTTAAAATTAAACATTAAAACCAAGTATAAAAATAATGTGATGTAATTTTTGACTATATATATATGAAGACCCTAGTGCTGAAAGTACTTAAGTCACATTTTGTCAAAATCAATCTTAACTGTGACCTTTTCTTATCCCATTTAGCCAAGTGTACTGCATACATTTGAAGACATTAAAATGTATGCAAGTCCTTCATTTAAACATGACAAAATATAAAAATGATCACAAGACGAAAATATTTGAACTTGAACATCTGAAAATGGGTATTTTGTGACTAAAGTACTTTTTTAAGGTCTTTATATGGAACTGATATAAATATTTAACATTCCTGTTTCACACCTGAACATTAAAAATGCTATCTGCCAATGGTCTTTTAACATGGTTAATATGAAAGCCATGGTACAAAACTTTCCCATTTTCTAACCATAGCCCATATAACCCATAAATAAAAATAAATGATGTCTATTTTCTTATAATTTATTGAAAAAATAAACAAACAAAGTACCTGTACATCTTCACCATCCACAAACTGTGCAAATTTTAATTTATTGGTTGCAATTATGTCCACAATGAGAGTCCTGACTGCCTTGTGGAAAGCATCATTTCCATACATAATTTTGCTAATGGCTCTGAAAAAGCAGTTCCCATCACCTCTAATATAATCCACCTGACGATTCTCTTTGGCCAAGAGCTCTTTCAATACTGAATAAATTGGGTAACTTGGAGCAGGATTGACATGTTTTTCTGCATTACCTTTCTTGACATAAATAGCTCCACTGTCTTCTACACATAATTCATCAGTTTCAATAGAGTCAATGCTTGTAGATGAACTGTTTTTATTGACAAGTTCCTGCGACTTTTCCAAAGGACTTCCTGGTGGAGTGTTTTTGACAGGATGCTTCGGCTCACATTTCTCTTCAGTTTTATGAGGTGAAAGTAATTTTGAATCTTTTTGGAGAGGTTCAGATTTACTTGTAACATTACTGGACTGGTGCTTATCATCCTCATCAATGAGAATTACTGATGAATCTGATTTCTGCAGTTTTGAGTTAAATAAGTCTCTTGTAGAATATTTCTCATCATCTACAATTATTGGTGACACTGATCTCACTGAAGATTGTTTAGCACTATTTTTGAGCCTATTTTCTACATAAATGGGGATAATCCTGACATTAGAAGACAGTGAATCAGGCTCCTCTTTTAATAAGGAATCTCTAAGGGGCCTGGACAATGAAGGATGGGTTACATCATATTTGCGATGTGTTCCCGGTCGAATGCTATCAAACATGAAAAAATCTGTTTCGTTGAAAGGGTCAAATAATCTTGAATTTCCAGTAAAACTCAGCATTCCTGAAAGTAAATATAACAATTGTTAATAGAGACAACATAAACAGTCACAGCCACTGACAACAAGCTGAATCTTCTTCTTCTTCTTCTATATCTTATGAATCTCTATCATAGTACTTTACTTCAATTTTGTATTATTTTTCTTTGAACAATGCAAATATCACCAAATCAGATCCCGAAGAGGATAATAGATACTGAAAATCATTCAAAAGGAATGGCACTAGTGGCCAGAGATGAATCTCTTTGGGCCTACCGGGAATCCCATTCATAAACACCGCCCCCCCCCCACCCCGCAGAAATTCGCTGTTAAGTGGCAAACCTAAAATGGTTCATCATAGTGGTGGAGCAAGTACTTTAATTCAATTTTGGTTTATTTTTCTTTGAAAAATGCAAATATCACCAAATCAGATCCCGAAGAGGATAATAAATACTGAAAATCATTCAAAAGGAATGGCACTAGTGGCCAGAGATGAATCTCTTTGGGCCTACCGGGAATCCCATTCATAAACACCGCCCCCCCCCCCACCCCGCAGAAATTCGCTGTTAAGTGGCAAACCTAAAATGGTTCATCATAGTGGTGGAGCATCTGGCTACCCTAGGAACGCCAAAGGGGTAGCTTCCATTAAAATTGATAAGCAGACTGCTTCTGAAGCAGGCATAGTAACTTACCAAACATACAACTCTACTACTGTTTGAAACAGTATATTCTATAATGTTTGTGCAGAGGGCATTAAAATTAATTAGTTGTAGGTTGCCCTACCCCTGCTATGCAGGCTCATTTAGTCTTAAATTTACTAAATTGATTTTTATTGCTTTTAACTTGATGTAGTGATAGGGCTGATAAGACTGTCTAAGTATAGTATAATAACTTAAAGTCATGTAATTGCAACAGGCAACATGTTTCAGTCTAGGATTATTGAAAAATGTTTGTTATATAGGCTGACTTATAAATTCAACTAAACTAGCCCAGCCCAGGCATACTTTACTATATTATATTTTTAATTAACAAGCCAATATACCGGCTTTGTCCAGGATTGCTAGAAAAAAGATTCTGCAACTAACAACAAAAATTTAAAAAAAAAAAACTGTTACTTTTAAAAGATTTCCCATCAAAACCGTGTGAAAAAATTCCAGAGAAATACCCTTATAAAGAATCAAACTTTATGGAAAATTCTTAGTACAGAACCGAGTTTAATGGAGTGAATATAATTATAATTGCTTTTAAATTCATAGTTTTTTCAATATGACCATAAAGGGTATGGCTACCGAGCCTATTATTTTATTAATAAGTTCAATCTAGATCCATTCATCCATGCAACAACCTATGGATCTATGACTATGTTTGAAATTATATTTATAATTTTAAATAAGGATCCTACTCATAAAATTTTAAAAAGTTTCCTGTAGAAACATGCAGACTAATGCAGAGCTAACAAACTTACTCAGAACTCATACAGTTGATACAGACAAATGTTTATCTTAAAATATAATATATATAGCCTATTAACTATAAATTATGATGTAACAAGTTACTTTGCCCAAAGATAACAATATAAATAATTTAATATATAATAATAGGTCTAAGTCTAATACTAATTGGAAGATCCTCTTCTGGTTTGTCTTGAACTTGAGTGGCCTAAGCCTAAGTGGCCTGGGGCTAAGGCTTTCATATTAAAACTATTTTAACAAGTCCTCCATTAGTACGAGAAGTTTTGAGTAGAAGGCTTAGCCTGTTTACTGTTTGGACACAGTGTAGTTCAGTGGAGTGTCCACTAATAATGGTACAATTACAAACAATGTCAAAGTCAAAGTAACAGTAATAGACATATGACTAATACTAATAGCAACTTTCTGCCCAAGGCCAAGGGAACTAAGGCCAACGCGACTAAGTTTTAATTAAGTTGTACTTCGCAAACATGATATTAATTAAATTAATTATTAATAGCATAGCATTGTTGTGTAGTTAAGAATATATTACATAGTATAGAGTAGCAGTAACTTCTGAGTAACTAGTAATAATAAGTAAAAAGTAAAGTCACTAAGTGACTAAGTGGGCCGACCTACCTTTAAAAGCTGGAAATCTTCCTGAATCTTCTTCAATGAAGCTTGGTTCATCAAATATAGTGTGAAATTTACATGGAAGTCTCGTAGACCTATTTTTTCTCTGTGTTACAGATGAATTATTAGAACTAGTGTTAACTGGAAGTGGACGGTAAGGTCTCCACTTTTTAACTGAAGACACCATCATTTAATGGCTGACTTATGAATGAAGCACTCTCACGAGACTGTCAACTCGTAGGTCAGACGCAAAAGAAGAAAGATTCTAATAATAAGAAGTTGCTCTGTTTATGATCACTGCCAACGCGTATCTGACTCACAGTTTATTTCTGTACTTATAGCTGAGGTTAAGTGATACATTTAAAAGGCACCAAGCTGTGTGTATATGAATGATTCAGCTCTAACGGTCACGGAACTACAGATTTATAAGGCCTACAGTGATTCATGAAACTTCTAGAGTCACCAAGATGAAGGTGGAAATGTTTACCAATTGGAGCATTTTCATTGGTGGAAAATAATACATTTGTGTGTAATACGTCACCAGTTTATGTGATCGTTTAATAAGGTGAAGCTCTATTTTTAAATACTAGGTCATCAATGACTCATTCTTTGCCATGTTACTCAATGTAATCCTTCTGAAGTAGGTATTTAAAAACACACACAAACCAACAAACAAACAGGAGGCCATAATTTAGTTAAGAGTTCAGAAGAATTCAATTATACAAATTACTGTATATTGATACAAATTATTGTATATTGACGCTGGCACGAAGGTTAACTGCGCTCACAATAAAATTATTAAAATACATACAAATACTTTGGTGTGTGTGTGTGTGCGTGTGTGTGTGGGGGGGGGGGTGTTTATTTCGCGTATTACAGTAGATGGAGAGATGAACATAAAATGTCTTTTTGAATATTTAACTTTTTATGGGTTTGGTCTGGGGCATGGGCTCCCGCAAAAAACTTTCTGGGGGGGGGGGGG